TTTTTTTTTTTTTTTTTTTTTTTTTCCTCTCAATGCACCTTTTTGTTGGTTCGCAGTCAACAGGAAGCTTCTGAGTTTAAGTGCTGGCGCGCTTGCATTTACGACAACGGGAAAGTGTATTAACCTCATAGCCAATGATGTCAGACAGCTGGACGATTTCTGCGACAACGCACTTTTCCTAATCGGGGTATGTAATGAACAAGATAAGATTAATACCCTCTCTCCCACCCACTCGCCCTCTCTCTCTCTCTCTCTCTCTCTCTCTCTCTCTCTCTCTCTCTCTCTCTCTCTCTCTCTCTCTCTCACACTATCTCCATCTTCCCCTCTGTCTCCCCTCTCTCCCTGTCTCCCTATGATCCAGATCTCCCTCTCTCCTCATCTCTCCTGCGAATCCTGCCTTTTTCTGCTGAGCTCTTTGTTAATGCTGGGGCCCCATCCTGAGTCTTTGCCTGAATATGATGTCCCTCCCCCGCCCCTTGCCCCCTCTAATCATTTATGTACACGCCCTGCATGCCCCGATTCTTGCCCGAACACAATGCCACCCTCCCTCCTCTTCACCCCTCTTACGATGAATGCATATGGCCTTCATGCCCCGGTTGTGTCGAGTCGAGTCGAGTCGAGTCCAGTCTGGCCCGAACATAATGCCCCCCCCCGCCCACTTCCCACCTCTAATCATGAACGTATACAACCTGCATGCCCCGATTCTGGTACGATACAGTCTCAAGCTCATGATGATGGGGAGTTACATCCGTATCCCTGCATGGCTGTCTTCAAGTATAAAAAAGGGGTCACTACGCGGGAGTCACCAAAAAAAAAAAGGAGTTATAATTGCACTCTACGGGGCAAGATACAGTTTGCAATTGCACTTCGGGCACCCTACCTGGCCACAAATCTGGGTTGTATTCATTGCCCGAACTGCAATTGCAAAACTGTATCTTGGCTCATACTGCAATTATAACTCGTTCATTTTTATGACTCCCACGTAGTTTCCCCCTTTTTTTCCCCCTTTTTTTTCTGGGGGGGGGAGGGGGAGGGGGGGCTTGGAACTTCATTTGCCGGAAGACCACTTGACTAGGTGGTAAGAGCAGCCACTTGAATTCAAGTGGATCCCAGCGAGCAGCCACTTGAATTCAAGTGGATCCCAGCGTTGAAGGCTCCATCCATCTATTGGTGGGGAGCGTCATCTGCTGGAAATCGGGATCGGGTCCACCAGCGTCCCTGTACGAGGATGCATGGATTGATTGTGTGATGTGGCCATGCCACGTGTCCATTCCTGTGTAAGTGCATCTCTGCAATCCGCAACGTCTGAACTAGTGTATGAGGCTGAAAGCCCCTGCCATGCATAATCTCTATTAGTATATATATATGGGGCTGAAAGCCCTTGCCGTCGTGTCCACCGACAGGACAGGAGGCATTGATTGACAACCCACAAACCCTAAGAAGCACTCAGCATCCTACTACTTCGGGGAACAGTGAAAATACACTCAGCATCCTACTTCTGGGTTGAATATGTGAGGATCCCCGGAATCATCCATTGAATTGATTGAAATATATGGGAATCCTTTGTTTTTAAAAAAAAAAAAAAACAAAAAAAAAACACGCTAATCAGGGTTTGTAGAAGGCCGGATAACCCTAATTAATCAAACAAAGGGGCCCATCATCTAATCCACTGCCACCCCACCCGATGCAAGACGCGGTAGAGCAAATTCACCGAGAGAGACTCCACACCAATGGGGCAACATCAGCAGCTGCATAAACACCAACGACATCAATATTGATCACAGAGACAGAAGCACTGGCAGCCACGATGGCAATGGCGACAACAGCGATTACAACGGCTGCAACATCGACAATAACAGCGTCAAGAAAAATAATACCATCAACCACGAAAAATGCGATGTGCAAAAAAAAAAAAAAAAAAAAAAAAAAAAAAAA